GCAAATATGACTGGAAGTAAAAATATCCGATTTTGATGAATCACATCAGCTCACGAACTAAAATTAAAAAGATTCCTAACGAAGACAAATGTTGAGCGTAAAGGATCAAAATCCAGAGCATTCATCCTCTTGGCATCATAACTGTCTGTACCAAATTTGATTGCCAAAGCCAGAGGGATTCATCCTCTGGGGGACATGAACGTATGTACAGAACTTTGAGGCAATCCATGCAGTAGATGCTGAGATATTTCACTCTGGACCAAAGTGGTGTACAGACAGACTGACAGACAGACCGGCATTGCCATCCCTGGAGCTGCACCACTAGCGTGACTAAAAATAGACGAAACAAATCTGTGATTCTTACATTTACATCAGTTCATCATCCTCAGAGTACCTCCAGTCAGAGCAGCTAAAAGATGCAGATGTTCTCTTTCTATTTCTGCCTCTTTCAACTCACTTTCAATCAAACCTGCTTCGTTGGCAGGAAAGTTAAGAACAATGTAGCCCAAACATCAAAGTTAAGCATCTTTCTTGTCTTTCTTCTTTATCCGTTCCCTTGTCTTTTTCTCTCTCTCTTTCTGTCTGTATTTAAAATTCACCTCCCTGTCCTGAAGCATCAATGGAAGTTTTCATTTAGAGACACACAGTTGCGTAATCCTGCAGCTACAGCTTCTAGCAGCGGGTGATAATCTACAGTTGCCAAAAGCCCTAAAATTCCTCCAAATGTGTCTCTTTGCATTGCTGTCAGTGTCATGTCAGCGCACTGCTCCAGCTGCTCCAAAAACTGCTGTTCAGGACAGAGAGGAAAATCTTCCTGACTGAGCTCATCAATATCCTTAAATATCACTGCTTTCTAAAATATATCTCCACAACCAGAAGAAACTTTATTTCTCATTGTTTGTTGTGTTGAGATTGAACGCTGGTTTGATAATAAACCTGTATCATGAGGCAACATATGGTTCACTATTTCTGTGCGGCGCTATCACTGTCAACAGCCACACACTCAGGTACAGATACACAATGCACAAGTGGATTATGCAGCAGTATTTTGAGAAGTTCTCTATGGATGTTTTAATACTTTTAGACTCACAAGCCGGTCTCTAAAGGCTTTCTCCGGGCTTTTGTTGCTAAAACTGGGTGGAAACAATGGGAGAGTTTAAAAGAAACCTGCATTGCAGAACCAATCCAAAGTTTTTAGGTTGGTGCATGCAAACACTGCCGTACTATACAGCGTGGCTCGGGACGTCCATTTCCAGTCTTCCCATGTTACAAAGTGATTCGTTTTATCTCCAGTTGGAGATGATTGTTTCTAGTAAGGCCTGTCCTTGAAGAGGCTACATTTGTTAGCGGCAAAGTTTGCATTTAGAAAATCCCCAGACAACTGAAGCAACTTTATTAATCCCCAATGGGGAAATTCTCTTTTTCACTCAGTGTTTCACACACATAGGCCTGAAATACAATCACACCGGGCTTAAAGACACACAAATGTGGAGAGATGGGTTACCAGGAGCAGTTAGGGGTTTGGTGCATTGCTCAGTCCACACTGCACATACTGAGCTGTTTGTACTGTAAATTTCACTGGTATTGGTATCAATATCATCGGTATCACCAACTTGCAGTGACACTATCCACCAGGCGGGCGTTCACTGGTCCGGTGCATCCTCATTGGATTCTGTGCGTCTGCACCATAATCTTTACAAGCGGCAGTGAAAAGAATAACTGTAAAGTCACGCTCATAATTAATGCGAGGTATCATGGGGCGAGGAATAACATCAACCTATTTCAGGCATTGGAAGAAAAGATTGATGCCAGTGAACATAAATCTGTAAATTAAATCATGTATCCAGGCAGCATTACGTGTCCTCCGATACATTAGCCAATGCAAATTAGCTCCATGTGAGTGTAATCTGTAGCTGGCTCTAAAGATGGTTTGGCGCCTAAGATGAAGAACAATTAGGTTAAAAATGATTGCAGTAATGCAGCCTGAAGAGTGGCAGCAGGACTGAAGAAAACACGGAGCTGTACAGTGGGAATGTGACAGCTGATAGCAGGTGAAACATAAGGACGAGGAGACTCAGATACAGTGAGTGGTAACCAGATAGGACTGTGATCTCACACTGTGGGTTTTATGTAACACTGTAGAGTGGGTAGCTGTAATGCAGGAGAGTTGGGATGCCTTCAGTGTCTCGTGGGAGTGGCGTAATTTACATTAGACCTTTAAAGCTCTGAGTAGGGTGGTGTGGATGAAGAGGAGAAGAGACGGGATAAAAGGAGGAGTGAGAGAAAACTGGGAGGAGGATGAACAGGGTCTGTGCCAAAGAAAACAATTAAAAAAAGTGAAAAGGGGGAAAAAGATAGAAAAAGAGAGGGAAGGAAAGAAACAGATATTTTTAGTGAGTAAAACGAAGGAGAAAGTAACATAAAGTAACATACTCCACATACTGTACAAACAATGTACAGTGTACAAGAACAAATGCATAACAAGGCAGAAAAATACAAGACAGATAATATGAATCAGAATATCGCCTGTGCAACGTATTGAAACACTCAAGGTACGTTTCTAAACACACACTCAGCCTACATAATTAATGCTACACTTAAATGGATTCAGGCAGACTGGATGTCATTCTAGTGGAAGAGAGCAGGACGGTAAAATTAGTCGAGGCTGGCAGGGAATACGGTTGAAATGTACTCACTTATTGCAGTCCAGAATTTACAACCAGACCACAAACGGAGCCGCACCTCCGCACAACCCTGTGGGGAGGAGCAACACTGCCGGATTTTGTGTGAATGCAGCCAAAGGACAGTTTCATCCTGTCCGCTGTGGCCTCTCTGTATATCTGTGATAACTGAGTCTATACATTGATTTTTAAGAAAATCCTCCTCATTCTGCCTCTGAAGTTCTGTCTCTTCAAGTTCTGTGGTGGAAAAGGCCTCTTGAATTAACATGTGATCACGAGCATTGTTATATGAAACTGGAGCTTGATTTGTTCATCAATGACGGCAGAAATAGAAGACGGGAACGAGGCGTCATGGGTGTCAATATGCTGGGGGACAATAGCCACTTAATCTTTATTTACTTTTAATGAGGAACTGCACAAATACATGCCCCATTGTTTTTGTTTTATTCATGACACTGAAGTTTATTTTGAATTTGAGAGCAGGAGAGGGAGGGAGTGGGAGAAAAGAGAGAGAGAGAGGAAGAGAGAGGGGGAAGGCAGGAGAGGATAAAGTGGGCAGAAGCAACAATGGGAGCTGGGATGTGTTCAGTGCCTCATGGGACGGCTCTAATCTGCATTAGACCTATATTACATGGCTGATCAGCCGGCTGGATCGCCACGGCGTACAGTGGAGGGCTTTACTGTATGCAGACAGCAGAAGACAAAGGAATAAGGTGGAAAGAGAGGAGGAATGAAGAGAAAGACGGAGAGAGACGAGTGGGTGGATGTGGTGCAGGGATACAAGATGCATTCAGGGTCCCGTGGGACGCAGCTAATTTACATTAGGCCTAGCCAAGTTCAGACTGGGAGGGAGAGAAAGAGAGAAGGAAGGAGATAAACACTTAGGGAGGGAAAGGGAGGAGGATAGAGAAAGAAAATACAAAGAAAATATGTGATAGATACCTGTAGGAGATCTTTTTATCTCTCCACTTCTGTCCCGTCAGGGCGTAGCGTTTATTCCTCTGCCGGCGGCTGGTGTGAGGATGATCTGGGACGCCACAGCGAGGTCTCCTCATCCACCTGAACACAACATTTCAATTTCACTCTCTTCCTGAAGATCAGTGAAACCAAACCTCCACACATCCACGTCTACTCATATAGCTCATATAACACGACCAAAGCAGGACACAAACACAGCTGTATCTGTTGTTACTGGACTCCTTTCAATCTGTGGAGATAATAGCTGAACCAGTACATACAAAACGCTTCAGCCCTTTAGTTACTGTTGTTTCTGGCCTCAGAATGGCAGTTTACGATTATGACAAGAGCAAATTTACCAAAGTTGACTGTAACTTTAGACACTTCAAGGAGAAGTAGAGAAAAGACGCTTTAGACTTTCTATGCGTTGTAAACACAGATAAACATACTTATAACGTGTTAAATGAGCTTAAAGCAATGTTCATAATGCTTTATAACAATAATCAGATTATACAACGAGTTAAATATCATAATACTTCATAACTGCAGCTGATAGGACTGTATCGATACATTGTGAGACAGTTTAATTGCAATACAAATATGTGAAGATTCAAATTGGTGATGAAAAATGAATCATTATACTTTTTTTAAACAGTTGTCTGCTTTTGACTTCACTTATTCAACATCCTACGTCACTGGCGTCAGTAGCTGTATCAGTTTTACAAAGAAAAGGAAATATGATTTTTTTTGTGGGATCAGATTGGAGTACTCGGGGCCCGGGTTCGAGTCCAACTTGCGGCCCTTTGCTGTGTGTCATCCCCTCTACCCCCATTATTCTGTCTGCTGTCACTATCCATTAAAGGCACAAAAGCCCGGAGTACTCAGTTTCTGTTAATGTCTGTGTTGTTCTCGCATAGGTTGAATGATACAGTGCTCTCTACGGTTGGTATGGACGCACATCGCCAGACAGGAACACTGATACTGGACAATAAGGTCGTTAATATGTTCTTGATACCGCACGTTTAAAACGATACGACACAATCATTCGATAGAATAAAAGTACCGAAGCTGTAAAAGAACAGATCTACAAGGCTGCAGAGATGAAAGAACATGGAAGAACTGGTCCTCATCATGTCATTATCTGTACCAGTGCTGTGTGCAGCTTATCTATAGATCCATCTACTGTGTGTGCCTTATTCTGATATTATATTATAGTTTAAAGTTTAAAAGTCACTGGGACAACCTTGTTGGACAGTACTGCAGAACAACAAATTACGTTTATTACGTTAGTTTTGCAAAAGCATTATTAGATCATTTCTTACTTCTGCTGGAAGTCTGAAGCAATAACACCTGAATTCTAATGTCTGTATGTGTGTAGGGCTTAGGGTTAGGGTTTAAGTTTAGTGACTCACTCTATAGTCGTCTCGTCCAGGATTCCCGTCACAGGAATGCCGTAGAAGCGCTGCATGGCGGCCACGGCGGACTGCATGGCTTTCTCCTGCCGCAGGTCTGACGTGCGGACGTCATGAGGCAGCAAGTAGCCGTAGTTCTTCAGCCACGTCTGAGAGAGCGAAGAGAGAGAGATAACAGAAGAAGTTGGTTATGATCAATACAAATAATCATCATTTAAACAACAAGAAGCATTGATTTTAAACTTTAAATGATTTCTCCAGTACTATCGTCTTCAGTCATGCTGAAGGATCTCTTTAAATATTTACATGTTTGTGAATATCATTGTGATGGTGGAGATGTCATTTTCCACTAATGACTAATGACTAAGAGCTCACTCTCCATAAAAACAGACTATTGAACGCTTAGATGACTAATCAGCTAAGAGGGGAAAGCAATTCTATCAAGAAAATTAAAAATGAAACATATTGATGCGTCGTATAAACAGTATTGAACATGTTGTTATTTTGATTTCGGTTCCATCGCAGACATCTTCTTCTGTTTATTAGCAACATATAAAACCCAGCACTGGCTGTGTGTCAGAGGAACCCGTTATCAACGACAGATGTGTTACATTAATCAGAAAGACGGGTATCTATTAAAACATATGTCTTATATAATAGTTTAAACCTTAACAATAACCATTTCATTTAGTTTTCTTCACAGAAACAAACAAAATGCTTTTATTGTCCAGGATATTTGGTCATTTCAATCCATTTCCAGGTGTTTCAGATTCAGACCTAATAACATTCAGCACTTCAACATGTCTGAATCGAGTGGCGTCAGACTGATGTGAAGGCTGCAGCAGCACTAAGACTAAATGAACAGCTTCATTAAGATCACACATTTCTCAGGTAAACATCATCTCTTACAGACATTTCTATAAACACGTGAATGAGCAGATTTTACACACAGATTCTTCTTAACCCTCAAACCACAATAACAATCAGACCAGCTGTCTCCCTCCACCCATCCTTAATGTCTTGTCACTCTGTACGTGTGCACTGTGTGACTTTATAGAGCTGGCAGCAGAATTCTCTGTAAGTGATGAAAGTGATGAGAAATTTGGGGATTTACTGTGAGAAGAGGAGGGTGAGCCTCAATCGTGATAATATTTAATTAAGGCTTTAGTGGCAAAATATCTCTTAAATTCGAGTGATGCAGCCACACATTTCATTCATCAGCCTGCAGTGACAGCGCTCTTGTGTACGGAGTGCCAAATTTAGCACAAGCAGCACCGTGGCAGAGGTGGAGCAAGCACATTCTTACTTTCAGTAGTAAGGACAGAAAAAGTGGAAAAGTACAGGCCCTGAAATGTACACGTACACAAGTATGAAAGTAAAAAGAGCTCTCTTGGTTTCTCTGAAGACATAAAAATACCAATAATAATCGATGATTAAAACTAAAGTAAGCATCTGTGCAGTAGATACAGATATTTGTATAAAAATGTAGAGGGTAAAAGTAAAAGCTGTCTCTGATG